AGCATAGCCGCGACGGCAGCAATGCAACAAGCGTGCCCGAGCTCAGCAACGCGCGAGACCGATGGGCCAACGACCTCTGAAACGACCCGAACAGAGAGCAACCGAGCGAAGCCCAGCCACAAGCGTACCACAACCCTGCCCGCCCCAATTTCGATTCAACGACTGGCAACCAAGCCGACCCGCAAATCGCATGGCAACAGTCTGACCCACCCGCGCAGGAGGAACCAACGCGGAACGAGGAACTGAACCAGAGCAGAGAGCTCCAAAGCTTCAGCAAGTGGGCACCAGCTTGAGCACAGTTCGCAGCGTGGCAGCAACGGCGTCTGACCCAACGAGGGCCGCCAAACGCGGCTGCCGAGGCCAGCATGGTTCAGCAAACGGATTTGCCGCCAGGGGCGCAACGAACAACGACCGACTCTAGCAGCCAAACCAAGCGGGCAGAGAGACCCACGGGGGAGAACAACCAGGGCACAGCCACGCTCCCAAGTAACAGCCAGCAGCCAAGCCCCGACGCGATTCCAACCAGACCAACACTTGAGCGGCACGACAGCAACCAGGCCCTCGAGGACGCCGCAGTCGAAGGGACCGCAGCAGATGGTGTCTCAGCTCCATAGCTACCGTACGAGGTTGAATACAAGCAGTACCGAACCACGTCAAATCGGGAGACTGCTCCCTGACGGCCCATTGCCGCGAGGCTCTCGTCTCTCGATGGGGCCAGCCTTGCAGCGGCCCGTCAGTGCCTTGGCCCGCCTACAATGCGCTGTTTTGCCGAACATTGCATTGCGACAGGCGGGAGACACGCGCCCTTTGCGATATTCCCGCGCCCGCCCTCTGCTCTACTCTTTGATCCGCCCGCGCGCGCTCACCGGCAGGATCGACCGCGGCGCAGCTGGTCGTCCAATCCCTAGACTCATATCTTCGACGGCAGCGGACAAAGGGGCGCCACAGGCCTCATCACACGGCGACGATGTCAACCGCAGCAGTGCTACGCAGCGGGTCCTTGCGGGGCACTTTCGCCCACGAGCTATGCGCTTCCACTCGGCTCGTTTGCTGAAGTCTGGCCACCGCCGACCTCCGACCTCCCCTCCCTCCTGGCTTCCACCCTGTAGCCCCCACTAACCCCTCCTCAACTCGCTAATCTGAGGGATGGGGCGGCGTTGGGCGGGGCCTGGCCCGGGGGGGTGGAAGGGCGCGCGCTCGTTGTTGGCCGCCCCCGTAAGGGCCAGGGCGGCCGCGGCCGCAGCGCAGCCAGCAACCCACCGCAGCACAGCCAGCCACAGGGGCACCTCCTCGTTTTCGTTTCGAGGCCCTCTCACGCGAACCTCCCACCATCCCTCCTCGGGTGTTTCACCGCTGAAGCGGTACCGCTTCACCGCTCGCAGCCCCTGCCGCCGCTCTGCGACGCTGCCCATCGGCCCCCGCGGCCCACCAGTCGCCCGCAGCCAACGGTACCGCCAGCAGTTGGCAGCACACTGCTCGCATCAGCAGTCGCGACCGCGGTTGCCTGCTTCACCTAACGGTGGGGAGTGGGCATGAGGATCGGGCATCCTGGCGGCAGGGGCTACAGACCTACGGCCGCGCCGCCGCCACGAAGGGCAGAAACCTCCCCGGCGCGCGGTGGAAATCCCCCACTCAAGGGTGCCGCACTCCTGCCTGGCAGGGGGAGGGGCCAGCCGCGGTTCCGGGGAACGCTTCGGGGGGACTTTCTCTGCGCGGGGGGAGGGGCCCTTCTGCCCTTCCACTTGGCGAGCGCGCCCCGCCCCCAACAGCCGCCACGCCGTCGCTACAGGGAGGGCCCAAGCCCCCCCAGCGTTCGGAGGAACCCCCCAGGGCGGCCCCGGGGTCGGCGCGTTGAGAAGCCGACGCCTGCTCGCACGCGGGGGATCCCGCCGCTATCCTCGGGGGCGCTTGCGGGGGCTTCCTATGGGCCGACGGAGGGGCCCTGGGGCCTTGCCCGCGCAGCAAGCGGCACCCACATGGGGGCCCCGCGGAGTTGTCGAGCCACCGCCACGCATTCTTTCCACTTCGCTTGCCGTTACTTCTGCACCACTTTCTCCTCGCCCCGTTCGCGCTGGCCACAGCAAGTGCCCAAGCTGCCCACGGCTTGCGCCGCCCGTCGTTCACGCCGCTCGCCTTTCCAAGGCCGACCAGCGTGGGCACCCCCGAGGAGAGGGACCTGGGGCACCCTGCAAGGCGCTGGCCCAGGTGGGCCAACGGACCGAAGCAGAGGGGGGCCGGACCTCGGCCCACGGCCCCCCCGCGTTCGCCACCTTCTGTTCGCACCCCTGCCGCTGCAAGCTTCAACCGTCTCCCTCCCCCCTTCGAAACCATGACGTTCGTGATGCGGTTCGTCCCGTTTTCCACCGCCTCCCCCCCTTTTGTTAGTATTCTCCCACCGGGATTCTCCATTGAGCGGCGATAGTCTTCAGCAGGCTCTCCAGTTCGATCAACCCCCCAAGGCCGAGTGGCCCTGGGGGCAGGCGGCAGCCGGAGACTACCCACGCCATCAGGAAGCATGAATCAAGAGGAGGAGGAGGAGGAGGAGGAGGAGGAGGAGGAGGACGACGGGAACGAGGACGGCGACGACGACGACGAGGACGACGACAACGAAGATCACGACAACGACGATCACGACGACGACAACGACGACGACGACCACGACCACGACCACGACCACGACCACGACCACGACCACGACCACGACGACGACGAGGGGGACGACGAGGGGGACGGGGGGGCGGGAGAGGATGACGGGGACAAGGCGAGAGTTGGAGGAGGAGGAGGAGGAGGAGGAGGAGGAGGAGGAGGAGGAGGAGCAAGAGAAGAGGAGGAGGAGGAGGAGGAGGAGGAGGAGGAGGAGGAGGGGGAGGGGGAGGAGGGGGAGGAGGGAGAGGAGGAGGAGGAGGAGGAGGAGGAGGAGGAGGAGGTGGCAGTGCGGCGAAAGTTTTGCCATACGTATTTTCGGACTGGATGGATCCCCTTTCGGGCCCCAGTTGCGCCGCGACGCACAAGAAAGCTCCAGAGGGAAGACCCTCAAAAGGACCTCGAGGAGCACCAACCCCTTTCGGAGCCAAAAGAGCGCCGTTATCCCCGAAGCTCTGACCGTAAGATGTCGAGAGGATGGGGCGGTTAAATTTGGAGAATGGGATCGTTGAGGACGAGGTGGAGAGAGGTTTGCAGGAGTTCAAGGAGGATGAGGAGGAGGAGGAGGAGGAGGAGGATGAGGAGGAGGAGGAGGAGGAGAAGGAGGAGGAGGAGGAGTGGGAGTGTGCATGGGGCGTTTTTTTCTGCTAGAGGGGGGCCTTTCCTTCCGCAGAATTCCACTCTAACTGGTGGCGTTGGCCGCCGACAGAGGGACATGGCAGCGCCTTCTTGGAGGCACCAGTGCCCGCAGCATCGAGGCATCGAGTGGCAACGAGATCTCCCCGATGTCATGCCCCCCCCCTACTCCTCCTCCTCCTTTTCCTCTTCCTCCTCCTCCTCCTCCTCCTCCTCCTCCTCCCCTCCTCCTCCTCGCCACGGATTTTCTACTTTCGCGCGTCCCCTGGCCCCCTCCCCGTCCGCGCACGCTCCTCGGGCCCTGGTGCGCCAACCCCCCACTCTCCCCGCCCCCCCCACGTCGGCGCACCTTGAGAGGGAGGAGAGCGTCAGTTAGAGCAGCAGGGCGAGGAGGTGGCTGCCCCTTCTTCGGTAGCAGATCATGGGAGGCTTGTATACCCTTTCAAGTCCGTCTTTAGCGTCGATTAGCGTCGGAGAGTCGATGAGATGGCGCCGACGCAGCGTCGATTAGCGTCGATCTGGCGTCGAGCTACCGTCGACTAGCGTCGACTGGCGTCGTTTAGCGTCGATTCGCAAGAGCCGACAAGATGGTGTGGGAGGCTCCCGTGACTTGCCACCGAACCCTTCCGCCAGGCGCACGATGTGCGGCCACTATGCGCCAGCGCTCCGCGACATCCACCGGCCCCGGTAGCCCTTGCGGGTGAGCTGACCATGCGCCTGCAGGGGCAACGTCGGGGGAGGATCGGCTCACGGGGGTTCGGATGCAACTCCTGGGAGGTCAAATTCTGATTTTGCCCTGGTCCGAAGTCCGGCTTGATCCGGTTTAATCTGGCTTAATGCCGCTCAATCCGGCTTAATCCCGCTTAATTCCGCTTAATCCGGCTAAATCCTGCTTAGTCCGAGGCCCACTCCGGCGTAACAGCTCCCAAATGGGGCTTAATCCTCCTTAATCTCTCCGACGAAAACCTCCCAGTAGTTGCCTCCTAACGGGGGGATGCGTCGACCCCCGGTCGCCCATTCATCGCCGGTAGGGGCCCGATCGCCCCCCCCCGCCTAGGAGCGCTTGGTTTCGCTATCGGGGCCTGTCGTCGATCTATCGGCGATGCATCGCCGATTCCAGTCCGATGTTTCCCCCCGTGAGCTGGTCCCCCCCATCGTTGCCCCTCACACACCCACCCCACTTAGCATCGTCGACGACGTCGACGCCGTCTCGAAGGCGTCCTGGGGCCCTCTTGGCCCGTCTGGGAGTCGTCCTGGGCTCGGGAAAAGTCATGCGACAAGCCCCGCGGGAGCCTAGAGGGCACGCGACAAGCCCCGGCAGGTTTGAGAAATTGGGGGTCTGGACCCTGAGAAACTCCTCAAGATTGAGGATTGGAGCTCAGAAGATATGAGGCAAAGGACCCGAGGACACGTCCACTCCGTGCCCAGAGGTAAGGTGGCGGATTTTGCGTCCTGTCTGGGACGGTGGAAGCCCATGCCCAGAAACACCCTGCTTGTCTCCAGGGTTCCCTGGGTTTCTTGGGTTTCGACGGTTTCGTTGTGGAGAGCGTGACATTCCCACCACAAAAAAACAATGTCCTGGGGTCTGGGTTTTTTGTGGACGGTTTCTTGTGGTCGAGCTCCTACTGGTAGTAGCTTGACCGCACTCCCCCTCGAAGCGGGGTCTCAAGGCATCCCTTCGGGGGTGGCCACGGGAGGATCTTCGTACCTTTATCCAAAAGCCCCGCGACGCGGGCCGGCCGACTTCCACCACGAGTGCCTCGGGCGCTGGTTCGAGCGCGCCCCTCAGCCGAGCGGTCGACGCAGCTCACAAGCGACGAAGATGACCATCCGCACTTCGCCCCGAGCGCGGCCGGAGTACATCGCTGTTTGGACCTCCGTGGGCCCTCCACGGGCTTTGGAGCTACCAGGAAGCGATCCAGGATGGAAATGCAGTCCTGGGGTGATGCCCCGAGGTCCAGGATTGAGCCGGGCGTGTCCCCCTACAGGGAGATGTTCGAGGAAAAAAAAGGTACCCCGAAAATAGTCAAACAATAGTCCAAAGATAGTCTGGGGACTATTTTTTGATAATTTTTTGGCCTCCTTGGGCTATTTTTTGGGGGTCGTTTTTTTTATTTTTTGTCGAAAGTCCCCCCTGGTAGGGGGACACGCCCGACAGAAGTCCAGGACCCGCTTCCGTCGTATATACCTCATGCCAGATGTCCATGCCCTCGCGGTCTGCGCACCGCGGCGCGAGTCCACGAAGGCGCGCGTCGAGGTCTGCGATTCCTCGCGGGCGTCTTCGGAGATCCTCGGGACGTGTTGCTAAGCCACATCTGTGTGCCTTTACTCACCGGCCTCGAACTTATCCCTATCCCTAAGACCGACACGCCAAAAGGCGATGACAATCTCAGGGGTCCACCCTGAAAAACTGAGGGAATCCCTAAGACTGGCATCGTGACGAGGAGATGCCCAGCATAGGGATAGGGATATGTTCCAGGCTGGTAATTCACTCCTTGCAGCTCTACCGACAGCACGCAGTCTGTCTCGGCCCTCACTTCACCACCTGCGTCGTACTGCACACCTCGGTGGACAGATGCACGTCGACGCCAGCACACCTTCTGAGGATCATCGATACTTGCGCCATGCCACCGTGTATCACATGGGGCTCGCAGCCAGAGAGTCTGGGCTACGAGGCTGTAGATATGGATTTGATTTCCGCCCACGCAGTTGAGCGGCGGCGAAGCGTAAGCCCTCAGACCGTGACGCGGGTGGTTCAACAGCATGCCAGCGCAGCAGTTTTGGTTGATAGCCACACTTCGTTGTGAGTCATCGGCTTGATAATCCAGAGCCCTGCACGCGAGCTGCAGTCATGGAGATAGCAACTTGCAACGTGTGGTCGCAGCTGCTCTCCTTGCAGAATCCCTGACGGGCGGCCCAGGTCATCGTCGCATCTCTTGGATTATTTCGTCCCACACTCAGTCGGATCATTGTTTCGATGTTTCGTGTTCGGCTTGTCGGTCCGATCCACGCCGAATACATGTTGAAAGTCGAACCATGGAGCAAATACCACATTTTCGATGATAAACAAGGTTCAAGTTCCCCGAAGTTGCAGCGCATGTTTCACAAGAGCGGCCAGTGTCTGCTCAGCTAAGGGGGCCGCCGATGTTCGCGAGCCCTGACCCAGATAGCCGTGGTCAAAAGCACTCAGGCTGGGCTTGTCCAACCATGCTCGTGCCGTCCGATGCCCGGTCCGCGCCCCTGGACCATCAAGCACCGATCCGCGATGAGAAAAACGTCATCATGAAGGAACGGGGTTTTGGAGGAAGGGGGTCTTGATGGTTCCCATGTTCTGTTTCCCAGGGCCGTCAAGTAGCTGCTCAGGGTTGTCAAACTGTCCTAGGGCAGACCTTGGCGTCGCTCCGAAAATAATGGAAATTCTCGGACGCACCTGGACGCACCCGTACCTAGACTGGAAGCCCCCCCCCATCGAACACCCCCAGTTCGGCTCAACATTTGCCGTCCAGTCGCTGACCCCCAAAGTCGGGAGTTGGGATCGCCATGTCCCCCCTGTGTGAGTGTCCTCGAGGTGGCCCTGCGTCGCTTCCCTGTTTTGAGTGCCCTCCCTCCCTGTTTTGAGTGCCCTCCCTCCCTCCCCCTCTCCCTCCCTCCCCTCGCGCGCCCTGTCGTTTTCGTCTGTCGTCTGTCGTTTCGTCAGTCGTTCGTCGTGCCACTGGGCTCCTTCGTGCAGGTAAAAAACAGTGTCCTCGAGGTGGCCCCCTTCCCTCCAGGACCCCCGCATCCTTCCCGCCAGGATCTCGGGGGGGCACGCGCCGCGGACGTAGACACGACGGCATAGGGCATGTCCCTCTACAGAGGGAGTCTCCAAAAATAGTTAAAACATAGTCCGGGGACGATTCCTCTACTGTTTTGGCTATTTGTTTGACGTGTTTTCTGAGTACTTTCTATTTGTCTGCTAAACCCCCTGTAAGAGGACATGACCGACATCAGTTTTGGCCTGCGAGGGGACAGATCGGTGGCGACATCCGAACCCTGCCCCCGCCGATCAACGGATCGGGCAGCTCGATGGGCGACGGGTTGCAGGTTTCGGAATTGGTCGGACACGTGGCGAAATCCGAACCCTAACCCCCGCCCCCCATCGATTCAGGAGAATCGACATATTCAGGAGTACCGATGGTTGGAGGGGGTAGGGTTCGGGTGTCGCCACCTAGAGACGGTGGAGGTCTGGGTCTGCGAGGGGACACAGCTGGCGCCCAGCTCGCGGCAGGCTGTCTGCCTGGGGTGCAGCTACAGTGGAAGCCCCTGCCGAGAAACACCAGCATGTCGGGGAACGTCGTGCTTCACAGTGGGGCGCCCCATTTTCCTGCTTCACAGTCGTGAAGCGCTCCGTTTTCCGTCTCGCCTTTCGTCCTTTCCCGAAGAGTTGCCAATCGCGCGCTCTCCTGCCCACGCGTCCTTCTGGATGCCCGGCGCACTGGTGGTGGTGGTGGGTCGGGGAACCTCGTCGTGGCCGAGGCTCCCGTGGCCAGAACAGCCCCGCCTCTCTCTCTGGTTCAGGGGGGCCCTCGTGGTGGCCCGGCGCCGGGGAGCAGCACTCGGCAGCAGGGAGCGTGTGAGTCGAGCAGGGGATCGACTGGAGAGTTGAATTACCCCAGGACTCATTTTCTCGTCGAGCATCTTGAACTGTACGTAGGATGCTCGTAGATCTACGGGGCAATCGTCGCAGGTTCGGCAGATTCGATTGGAAATTCAAGAATGGGGTACATCAATTCTGTAGCCGATCCCCTACTCGAATGAGCCAGGAGGAGGAGAAGGCAACACACAGGTGGGAGCTCGAGGGTCTGAGGGTGCCAGGGGAACCTTAGTTCCTCATCTACCCCCTCATCTGGGGGGCCAGTTCGCAGCCCGACTCGGAACCGCGTCAACAACCCAGCGGCCTCCGTTGAACCCTTTCCCTCCTTCCCACTCTTTCTCGCCTGCCTCCTCCCTCCGCCTCTCCTCCTCCCACTCCCCGCGCGTCGCCAAGAGGAAGAAAATCGGCTCTGGAGGCTTTCAGTGGTCTCTGGGTTTCCAGACCCCCCCGTGGTCCACAACATACACCACCACCACCACCATCACGGAGCCATGTTCGATTGTCAACAATTCGGATGAATCGCTAACACATGCAAGAAAACGGTTATCCCACTAAGTGGGATCGATCATTCTGCGCTTTTACTGCTGGCGCAGCTGACACGGATACGTCGGGAACCGACCAAGCTCTCGTTGAGGGGAATGAAGCGCGAACGAACAGAGCGGAATGTGTCCCGTCCGCGTGGCCGATTGGCGGTGTGTCCCCCATTGGCCCCGCATTCGGGAAGGAGGGATAACGACACAAATATGGGCAGATATCGTATCAGAGCGAACCGCGTGGTTGCCCAAAATCAAAGGCGGCACCACGCAATGAATATGCCACGAAGCTCGCCCCGCAAATATAAACGAAACCGAGAGAGGAGAAGGAGGAGGATGAGGAGGAGGGGGAGGAAGAGGAGGAGGAGGAAGAGGAAGAGGGGGAAGATGACGAAGAGGGGATCCTGCCTATGGTTACGAGAGGAGCTCGTAGACCGAGGTGGCCCAACATTGCCGCGGCCGCCCCCACTTTGTACGAGTCTACCATTGTCAGGGAGAGCCATCTACATTGCAGAGTATTTGTTTCGCCAGGCACGACTGACTTCCATTTGCGATCTTCGTGTGCAGCGCCGTCAGTTTTTCAGCTGATAGGTCAGAGAGTGGTTTTGCTCCGGCTTTGTCCAGCACGATGGAGTTGGCGACCCTGGAAAATAAACGATGGTGGGATACCCATATCTTCCGGATGCATTTGCAATGAAGAGCGTCTAATCGATCTCATTCGGTTTTGAGGAGGCAGACTGAGTCCAGAGAGTACAGGATCTTGCTCGAAATGCAGGCGGAATAGATCTTATACTTCCTTTTCCATCCAATGGCGGCGTGGGACCATGCATTTGCAGCTGCTTCAATCCGCTCGCTCCTTCGCTCAGCCGCCGAGACAGCTCGCTCTTGCCGTCGCGAGAGATCAGCCCACCCAAACAAATTGCCTCCCGCACGGGTTTGATGTTTTCTTGCGTTGGTCTCCGTATTCCCCTTGTTGCAGAACATCTCATCTGCAACTTATCCCGATTGAGCTCCACACCAGATCTACGGCCTTCCGTAACAAAGGATGCAAACAGCAGTGGAAGATTCCCAGAATGTTGCGATGCCAAGAGAGTATCGTCCGCGTATAATGTCCGTGGATACGACACACTCCGGTTTTGGTCTTAGCTCCAATGTGTCCAGGGCGTCGTGCAGCATCACAGTTTGGACAGCGATGTAATCGTAGGAGCTTAGAGGGCAACTTTGTGCGATACCTGCAGGTTGCTTCCTCGCCAAAGATGTCCCACAATGTTCTACTATAGCCAAGTACCGCTATGCGTATATGGCGCGGACAATGTTGACAAATTGTCATGGTAGTCCAAAACTTTCAGAGGCCATGCACATGCTGTGGGGCTTCAGGCGATCGGACATTTCCGCCCAGTCTTATAGTAGAAATAATCCGCCTCCCCAGTTGTTCATTGAGTTGCATGCACCATCCTCCAGACAAGCATCAAAGCGTCTGAACTGCCACGATTTGGGCGGAAACCGAACTGAGATTCCCACACGCTCTTCATTCGCACCAGCCATCCAGGAGTCGCTAGCGTAGCATCGAGGCCAATATGTTGTAGCCCACTGCCAGAAGGGATATCGGT